CCGAATTTTACTAACGAAAAACTAACAATGCATATTCTTAACTTTGTTGTTTATTTTCACCTGCGATTTCAGATTTTCGAATTTCGAAAATTCGTCGCTGTGATTCCGTTCCGGAAGTTAAGACCAATTTGACAACTTCTTTAATAGTTGCACGATTTTCATGAAATTTGGAATGTTAGTAGATCATACCTATGTTACTTGAAAGATGTCATTAGAAACTTTCTAACTTATCTCCCCTTGGTGAAATTAAGGATCGAATTTTTCAAAAAATAGACGAAATATAGGTCAGATCACCTTGAATTATTTTTTCTGTACTACCTACGACTCTTTTGATTCGTACACAAAAATGGAGTTTGTAGCTCAATCCGGAAGTGCCACCGTCTTGAAATGTGAAATTTCGCTAAGGCTTTTTTGATATTTTACTTACAGACTCGGGGTTTATATTTTCTGGATCCTTGAGGAAATGCCTAAAAAAAACGTTCAGAGCAGAAATTTGATTTAGGTCAACTGATCGTCACCATTTTGAAGTGAATATGAAAAATAGTGAAAAATCTACATTATTGGGATTGGAAATAAACACAATAGGCCGTAGTATGTTCAATGCGTCTCCTATTTCTGAAATTAATACATTTCAGGAAAGCCTGGTATTTGAATATTTTAAAAATTCGAATATCGCCCTTGACGTTTTTCGTGGCGACAAAGTTGTTTAGGAGTGAAAAATTCCCATTAACGGCTTGCAAATAATCGAAATCGGCCGGCGTTTCGTAATTTCATCTCCTATTTCCGAAATTAATACATTTCTGGTTACCCTCCTTCCAAGAATGGGTGCTGGCCTTGGAATCAATATATTTTCAAAACGTTTTACGAATCCGAAATCACCGAAATTTACTGATGGAAAAATTGACCTACACAGCTGTAACTTTGTGATATTGTGATCTATTTTAGTAATTCTTTTTTCTTTGAGTACCTTAAAACATTTTCTTTAAATCTGCTATTTCCGATTTTCGAAATTCGAATATTACGTCATTGACAGCTCATCCCGGAAATCAAAATCAACATGATAACTTCTTGAATGTTTGTACGATTTTCATAAAATTAAGAATGTAAGTAGACCTGTCATTGGAAAATTTCTAAGTTATCTCCCCTTGGAGAAATTAAGGATCAAAATTTTCAAAAAATTCCTCAAAAAGTAGGTCAGATTGCCATCAAAATTTGTTTTTGTAGTAACTAAGAAAATATTGATGCATACCATAATATGAAGTATATCCGTCGAACCGGAAGTGCCACCTCAGGCTGTTGCGATATTTTACTTACAGACATGGGAGTTGAATTTTCTGAATCCTTTTTTTGCCCAGGTGCAATGTTTCTCATTATGTTTAGACTTGTAACTTCGCGAGTTTTTCACCGATTTTGATAATTATTTTGTCTTGTTCTTTTTTCTTTAAAGATACTTGATATAATCCATGTCACGTGACGAAGAATACGGAAGCTTTCATAACAGTACTAAAAAAATTTTCTTTGAGTACCTTGAAACATTTACTTTAAATCTGCTATTTCCGATTTTCGAAATTCGAATATTACGTCATTGACTGCTCATCCGGGAAGTAAAACCAACATGATAACTTCTTGAATATTAGTACGATTTTCATAAAATTAAGAATGTAAGTAGAACTGGTTGATTCAACTTCAACGAAGTCATTCGAAATTTTCAAAGTTATCTCCCCTTTGAGAAAATAAGTATCAATTTTTCAAAAAGATTGCCCTGGAAATTTTTTTCTATACTAGATAAGAAATTACTGATGAGTACACAAAATATGAAGTCTATCGATCGAACCGGGAGTGTCACCATCTTGAAAGTGAAATATCCCTGAGGCTTTTGTGCTATTATACTTACAGACATGGGAGTTATATTTTCTGAATCCTTGAAGAAATGTCTAAAAAAGAATTTTGATTTCGGTCAACTGATGGTCTCCATTTTGAAGTGAATATGAAAAATAGTGAAAAATCTACATTAACGGGCTTGTAGATAAACGCAATAGGCCGTAGAATGTTTAAGACATCTCCTATTTATGAAATTAATACATTTCAGGAAAGCCTGGCTCATGGTCGAATGTTTGGTATTTGAATACTTCAAAAATTCAAATATCGCCCTTGACGTTTTTCGTGCCGACAAAGTTGTTTAGGAGTGAAAAATCCCCATTAACGGCTTGGAAATAATCGAATTCGGTCGACGTTTCGTGAATTCGTCACCTGTTTCCGAAATTAATACAATCGTCTATTTCTCCGGAAATGTACAAGTACTATTTTGTGATAAACGTCAAAATTGCCAAAAAGGTGAGTTTTGGACAAAATGGTGTCACTTTAAATTTTAAATTGTAACCAGCCAGGAGGTTTGAGGTCTGGTCCTGGTTTGGCTGAGAAAGTTCAGCATTTTCCGGTATGGTTCTCCCTTATCAGTGGTGTAGGTCGGAGAGCCTGTCTAGTCGATGGAGTGGGACAAAAAACAGAGGTTTCATGTACACATTGGTGTGCACATAAAAGAACCGCTGACAGTTGGAATTCGATATAAGAGTTTCTGAATGACAGTTGGAATTCGATATAAGAGTTTCTGAATGTACAGGTAAGCCTCTATGGCGAATTCTTACTTATGATAATTTTGCCTCATTTGCTTTTAGTCAGTGATACAGGGCGGAGGATCTGAGAAGGACAGCTGTATAGTCATTCGGATCAGAGGAGGCCGTAGTACGGGCAAAATTTCCCTCATAGCACACTGTATAGCGTATGCCCGTCTTCATTAGCCCATCGAGCAGAACGATAGGACGTTAAACTCCATTTCATTTCATAACATTTGCTTTTATCAATTTACACTGTCATTAGTGAGGATAAAACCTCGTGGGTTTTTCCGGGTCCTCCGGTTTCCTCCCACTGATAAAGACCCCTACGCGCAAGCGAATTGTTGAAATAAAATTGGACCATGTGTTAGTCCCGAAATGACCTAGTTTGTATCGAATGGGAGAGAGAGAGAGAGAGAGATAGAGAGAGAGATATCTAATAATTTATTAGCTTATTTATCAAACCCAAAGCCTGACATTCTTTAAGGAATAAAGGAATTTTCAAATCTAATGAAATACTTTGGGTCAATCGATTTTCTGCGCCAAAATCATCAAGAGCAGTTTTAATATGGTTGGCCATATACGTTACAGTTGCGACATTGTGGCTACCATGAAAGGGCGTTAGCGATAATTTTGAAACTCCTGAGGAATTTGAATATAACTTGAAAGGAAATTAACAACCCGATTTTTCGTCTCCACCCTAAGTAAAGGCCTTACAGACGGTTCCAAACAATCAAACATACCCCGATTCGTTTGCCCAAAATGATGTAGCGGTTTTAAACGTTTGGGCCTTGAACGTTTTAAAATAAAGTTCTTCAAATTTGTTCAATTCCAGAACGCCTTTATCCGCCAATCGAGTTAATAAATGAAGATCACAAAAGAAATAATTATTATCCATATGAATATTTCGCTCCGTATCTGAAAAATCTGACCAGTGTTGTACCAATTTAGTGCAAATACTGCCAGTGTATTGTATAAATAAAGAATTAAAAAGCTTTTCAGTGCTGGCTCAGTCTGACATGGTATTTTTTAATTTGGAAAATAACGGATTTACTAATGGTCCAGCAATTTCGTCGAGACCTGCCAAAGTTTCGGTTAATGTCGTTAAAGTAGTTTGCACAAATATATCAGACATTTCACAAAGAAATGAAATGAAATGAAAAGAAATGGGGTTTAACGTCCTACTGTTCTGCTCCTAACCTGGGCTAATGAAGACGGGCATACGCCATACAGTGTGCTATGAGGGAAATTTTGCCCGGACAGCGGCACTACGGCCTACTCTTATATTGAATTCCAACTGCCAAGGGATCTTTTACGTGCACGCCAATGTGTACACGGGACCTCGGTTTTTCGTCCCATCCGAACGACTAGACAGCTTTCCTTGTCAGTCCCTCCGTATTTCACAAAGACCAAGAATAAGTGGCGTATGTGTCGAATCAGCGGTTATTGCATATGTGACGAATTCAGAACCAGATTTTGTAGTTTCGTGTGTATAAAACGTAGTATTTTTCGCTGACTTTAATAAGGTTTCCGAAACATGTTTTAAAGATACACCGACGCGCTCATATGATATTCTTTGAACTGTAGATGTTGATGGAGTGTAATTAGATTATAGTCCCGCGACAGCCAAACATGCGGTTATAACCGCTGCTAGGTTATCATTCGAAACGTTTAGATTTTTAAGTTTGATGACCGTAGTTGTCGAAAATTTATTGATAATGCCTAGTGTAAGCCTATTTGTGATTTTTGCCAAGGGTAGTTTGGTTACAGTGCTCAAATCATTGGGGGTACTTGTCCAATCCAATGCTGGATAGCAAATGATCAGTGGACGCCATCTTGCTGGGCTCAGTCGCAGATCTAGAAAATAAGCTATGTCCGTCGATCAACGCTTAAAGCCACAACATAATTAGATAAGATACTATGAAAATAATTTCCACCAAGTTACCGAAAACTGTCTGGAAAATAAAGACTACAAATAAATATTTTGCTTCGGTTATTTTCCGGTCTCAAATAGTTCTAAACTCACGGGAGCGGCATGCAAACGAAGGTTGTAACCACTAAATAAAAGTAAATCTAAAACTGTTGTAAGAAAAGCTATCACAGCCTAGCTCTGTACCAAAATCGCCAAAATCAAAAATTAAATCAACCAGTGTAATCGAAATTTTTGTTCACATTCGCTGTAAAATAACCACGACAGTCGAAGCGCGAAATGAGTGTATTTTTTTACTCGGATTTATATACCAATACATGTTTGTATAATACCTCGTGGAAAGTTATTTGTGACGTATATTTGCTGCGACCTCCGAATACACGTGCGCGGGATTAACCTTTGCTCACTTCAGAAAATCTCCTCGATGATGCAATCAGGCAGATAAGTGGCAGTTTTTTTAAGAACAAATATTTGAGGCCATGAACCACTCAACAATATATTTATAATACATTCACTTCAATAGTCACCAATGCATTAAAGGCTTATTCATTGGGATGGCTTGCGTTTAATGGTAAAGCTTCGGTGATTTCGTCACTCGGAATTTCACTTTTATGTCCATTAATGTTGTCTGAGCTGCTTTTCCGAAGTTTACCCTCATATTTCATGCACATATTGTCAAGATTCAGAACTTGAAAACATGCTCTTCGAATATTTCTGTCCATAGAGCCGTATATAATCGGGTTACAACTATTTGCCACAGCATATAGAACCGAAATTGCCACATAAAAGTCTGCACTCAACAACAACTGCTTATCAATGCTCCTGACAATTCCATATGGCAAGTATCCAATTATGATGACCAGAAACACCAGGCCGAACATTTTAGTAATCTGAATTTCTCTTCGAAGCCATTCTCTTTTCCGCTTTCCCCTGAAGACACTGGACGATCTATGAACTTTTATAAATATTGCGACATAACAGATGATAAGCATAACAGAGGGCATTATCATTAATACCACACTAACAAACATTGTATAAAGCCCGAACCCCTTCCTAATGATACAACGCAATAGTTTAGGCTCATAGTGAGACATATTCCCGAGATGTGGTTGTATAAGAAATAATAATGGCACAATGCGTGCGGTGGTTAACACAAATATTGTGTAGGCTCGTTTAGAAATTTTTTTATAAAAACCGTTGAAACAAACAACAATGAGGCGATGAATAGCAATAAGACCTGTATGCCACAATGATGACCCCATTAGAAGAACAGTAAAATGTGTGACGATTTCACACACAATTAGACCAGTAGACCATTTCATCATAAAGTAGGAGATAAGCACCATGAAATTTGATATGACTAGGTTCATGATGTCATTTATACACAAACTCACTATAAACATGTTAGTAATATTCTTTAAGTCCCTGTTTGTTAAAATGGAATACGTGGTCAGAGCATTGGCGAAAAGACCCCACAATAAAGCCACTAACATTACGATGGCGCCAATGCGCAATGCTAAATATGAGGGAGTGGTATTAGATGATAGATCTGTATTATTGAACTGATCAAATGTAAAGTTATCATCTGATATGTTCTGTAGTGTCAACATTACATTAATTAATACACCCATTGAAGTGGCTTCAAATATACTATGATCGTGAAGTCAATGTTGCTAGTGCTGATTTGCAATGTCATATGACTGAAAAAAGTGTCCTTAAACTGCTTGTCTAACGGAACCCACGAAGCAAGTTTTTGTTAGCACAATCATTCATGTGGCTTGGCCTTTAATTCTGTTTAATCTTTTCATTACTTTGCTACGATGAGAAACCTAAAATAAAAAAATAAATAAAATATCTATGTTTTAATATTTTTGATATAAGTAATATCGTGTTATTTTAGGCACAATCTATTTCAAATTTTGATCTTCATAGAGAACCATTGTGACACGACATTTTAAGGCCACCCCCGCCCGAAGCTAAACTCTTCTTTAAAGTGCGGGGGCATGATTTGCAACATTTTTAGAATTGTTTAATGTCGAAATGTCCATAAATGATGAAGCTGGGTCAGGGACCAGCTAAAAAAACACACGCAAGGAATCGGGTGAAGTGAGGCTCAGAGCCGGAGGGCAACTTTTCTAACATCATATGTACAAGGGCGGCGATTCCCCTCGAAATGAACGCGTTACTGAAAAAATATATACAGATCTAGACAAAATTACCATGACAACTAAGAATGGTGAAAATTACGCCGGTTCCGAAGACAAAAAGTTCAAAACACGATCAAGGGTCGGGGTGATTTGTACTCTCTGCACTGAGTTTGTAATTGTGGCCAAACCATCATTAAAAAACGGCACCGTTCCTGTCACCTCGGGGATTAGGGCATATTCTAAAGAAAGGTTGAAGAGGGTGGTCGATCGCATGCATTCTTTCAACCATCAGCGGAGAATTGAACATGAAAAATACAGAGACAGTGGACCGAAAGGTCTGTGAATCATCCCGGGATTAGCATTTTGAAGAAACACGAAGGTATGTGATTTTTAAATTCGTTTAGCCCTCGATGTGAATAATGATTGTCCCACTCACTGACGCAATTGAGCGCTGACCAGTTCATAACTAACGTCAGTGAAGTTCTCATTCGACAAGTTATGCGGCATCATAACAGACGGGGGTCGGCTAATACTGACAAGAATGGCGGACAGTGGGTGAAGCTGCGAAAAAATGTTGGCCGAGATTTGCCAGCTATATGGTGCGTTTGCCACCGCTCCGATCATGCTACGGAAGACATGGTGTGCTCAAGCGAACTGAAAATCGAGAGGCTAATGTAAAAGCCGTCGCAACATACTTTCGTACTAATAAACAGAAGAAGAAAATATTGGTGAAAATCCATCCTAAAACAGCGGAATTTCCCAGACACCATGAAGTCAGGTATGCGCAGCGCTTCGTTATTTTGATCGATGCTATATTAGCGAATATATCAGCGTGTAGCGGAGGCTAGACGGGTTCTTGAAAACCTGGACCAAGGAGTGTGTGAAATACTCATGGGCGATGTCTTCAGTGTATTCCAGTATCCACAGCAGCAAATGCAGCGTAATGACTTTATCCTGGCAGATGTTCTAACATGTCGTTCCATAGCTCTCAGCAAGTTATCGTTGATGAGAGAAGGACCTTGTCCGTGTAAGCGAGAGGCGAAACTGCAGATCGACGAGACCAATACAAATCCTGACACAGTTCGCCGTAACACTGTGAATACGCTGGTACCTATGAGAGACAGAGCATGGTCGCCATTCGTTATGAAATGGTTTCATCTATCGTCAACATTTTAGAACAGCGCATGAATGTTGAGGAAACTGAGGTAATGACTAGTATTCGAAACGTGCTGACCAGCAATAGTTTGAAAGGTTTTATGAATGCATGTGTGACCTTTGGGAAATCGCTATTGCCAGAGGAGGCTGAAAAATACGCGGATGATTTAACAGCAATTTGGTATAAGCTAGAGCCAAATCTGGTGGACTAATCAACAGCGGATGGTGATTTTGGGGCGGTATACGGAATTAAGTTACGTAAGTTGGTACATGCTTTGAGGGGCAAAGAAGGGCTCTGAATCTACTAGGATCATTTCTTTGCCCAATGGTGATGGTACAGCTGTATACAACCCATTACCCGCAGCTGCCGAATTTTTTACACCGAAGGAACGCCGCTATGGCCTATCTTATGGTGATTTTTACAAACGCCAAGAATTCGTCACTACTTTTTTTCAACGGGTCGGTCAGACTAAAATTGAACTGTGTGCCTAATTTGTGTGTAGGACTGTTGATTTGGAAAATTTGTTTGCATTATCATTGAATAATGTTGTTTATCTGTCATTATAAAATCTTAAGAAATCCAGAATCTGATACATAATTTAATTGTACCTGCCAGGACAGCCCGGATCCCAACTTGACTAACTGTCAAGAGTCTGAATCCGTGGTGGACTAGGCACGTTGTTGTCTAATTGATGCTGAAGCCTTTTGCTGGTTTTAGTTTTTGTAGATTTTTTTTATTGGTTTTTATGGCAAGGATTCTGGATTTGGTTCTCTCGCGAATCTTTTCTATCATAATAGCTCAGAATGGTCATTTAGAGGGTCACAATTTAAAAAATTTCACGGTCGAGGGGACGAGACCCACCCACGCAAGGCTGTGTCCATTACATTGCCAATGTAATTAAGTACATTACCAATACCATTACTTTTTAAATGTAATCATTACAACTACTTTCTCATTTTAGCAATGTAATTAATTACCATTATCCATTACACTGAAAGTAATTAATTGCCATGACCCATTACTTTATGAGTATATAAATAAAAAAACCCATTTTTTCTAAAATTAAAAAGACAACCGTATGTTTCTGCCATGAAGCGCCTACAAAATCAAACTCAAAATAATCCTTGATTCACAATGATAGATGTTTGTGTATGAATTGTTATTTCTATATAGTATAACAGCAAGGCAAATTTTCGAGTGACGGGCAGTGGTGACAAAAACTGATGTTTTCACTGTATGACTTGAAAAAATGAATTATAGCTAATTAACTGTATGTTCTTTTCTAAAAGTAATTTTATAAAATTCTCAATCAACCCAAACAGTTTGTCTATAATAATTGTATTACTGGTGAATTATTCAGTATGACTCTAAAACAAAATATATACATGTATTTGTTTCATATTAAGTAATTAAACCATAAAATGATCAGATACTTAAAGGCCACTGTTTGGTTTGTCAGTTGTTACCTGAGGATTAAAATTAAAGTGTAGTAAGACTATTTTCTTTTAATCGAACTGATTGATGGACTGGGTGATTGCCTGCAAATTAGCATATACATCTTTCCATGGTGTCTTCCCATATCGCCGAATGGTGAATGGACAGAAGATAATATAGCCACCATCGCTAACCTTTTCCTGCAAGAAGAGTATCCTATATAGAACCAGGAATAAGAAATTTCCCAAATTACCTAAACAGCGACGTGACATTGTTGTACCTGACCTTTTCCAACAAACAGACAGCGGAGAACAGTTTTTATTTATCAATAATGGTGACGATGAGAAAATTTTAGGATTTACCACATGACAGAATCTTGAGTCCTTGTGTGACTCGAATGTAATTTTTGGTGATGGAACATTTTATGTATGGCCACGAATTTTTCATCAACTATACGCCATCCACGCACTGATCCAAGATCGTTCTGTTCCATTGTTTTTTTTTTCTTTTTACCTGACAAGTGAGAGTCGACATACCGGAGAGCGTTTGAACTTTTGAAGCAAGTGGCACATGAAAACGGTTTCAACCTTCAACCATCCATTTTACAGGTAAGAATATTTTTAATCAATGTACACAATACATCGATTAATATCGTATTCTACATATATCGTATTCTACATGTATTCCCATAACATAGTAGTATGACCTAAATATGTTTCTTATTTTTTAGATGGACTTTGAGTTGGCGGCAAAGAATGCTAGTGAGGGAGTTTTTCCTGATGTAGAATGGAGAGGGTGTTATTTTTACTATGGTCAATGTATTTGGCGGAAAGTTCAACAACTGGGTCTGCAAACTTCATGCCGAGAAGAAGAAGAAACAAGCAAATTGGTTAGACGGTGTATCGGGATACCATTACTACCCGTGACTGATGTAAGTAAGGAAATATTTAGTAAATATAAATGTATAGTAAATATGAACAATTTATCTGTATATTTCTTTTATTTGCAGATTGACGAAGCATGGATTCAAATAATGGCCGAAGTACCAGATAATGAGAAATATAGACAACTGGCCGACTATATGGTTACGCAATGGTTAGGCGGTCAATTTACACCGACACAATGGAACCACAACCAAACCACGCAAAGAACCAACAACTCTTTAGAGGGGTGGCACGGACCCCTAAAAAAATTAATTGGAAAAGCTCATCCTAATATTTTTGAAGTAATGGCATTTTTGCAAGAAGAGCAAAAGACGATTGAAATTCAGTTATTGTAGTATTCAAGTGGCCAGCGACAACCACCTAAAAAGAACAAAATACCGATATCAACAGGAAGATTGAAGATTCGAAACATAGATATGAACAAGGAAGAATGAATTTGTTAGAATTTTTGGGCTATGTTGGCCACTTTATGCGTGCAAAAAGTTAAAATTATGTGTTATGTTATGTGTTAAAGGTTGTTATAAATTTTAAAAAAATAAATGCTCCCAAAATTATCTGCTTAATTAGTTTTATCCTTCAGCTTGGGTCTATTGTTCTTGGCCAACTAAACCCCTTAACGCCGACTAAAATTTTCCCCCTAAAACTCGGCGAGTCGGCGATATAGGAATGAACCCTTTTCAGAAATCCACTTTTTAGGTTACATTTCTAAAAAAGGGTCTTACATGTACATAAAGAATATTAAAAGAAAATATTTAATGTCTTCTTATTCTCATTATAATGAGAATAAAAGACATTAAAACTGATTTGAATCTTTTTTTTAAAAATTATAATGAATTGGATTTGTGTCAGATAGACTTAATTTGCTTCTTTTTTGCTCTAAAATTTGAGGCTAGTTATATTGGAAATATTTATATGTGCCATAAAATGTAATTGAAATATAATTGACCATTACATTAATTACATTTTCATTACTCATTACTTTTGAAATCTTCCATTACTCATTACATGGCCATTA